ATAACTAGAGCCTCGTGCTTAGGACGACATTGCAACAACGGGCGCTCGTGAGCCATACTGCTGACAGGGCATACAGGGATACTCAACCATGGATTAATGAAGAAATAACAGTCAGCTCGAGACCAACCCGTACGGACTGTTAGGCAGCCTCGCCGACGAGGCACTTTGCATCTCAGGTCAATTACAACCTCTTCCATTTTCACTGCTGCCGCAGTCTGTCGACTGTGTCTTATACCCAATCAGAAGATCGTCCGATCGCCCCCTGACGAGCCTATGCGGCGAAGCGGGAGGTTGCTCGACATGCTACGGCCGATTTCCGGGACTCAGACACGGATTGTCACACTGCACAACGTACTAGTTATCTTAGTTTACTATTTATCGTCCCCTTCTACTTAGCCTTGTACTTAGTATTCTTTTTGCTAAAATACTTATCCTTCGGCTACTCTACAGATGATTTCAACCAATGCGACTCTGATCACCAGTCGTTACGAACCCCTGAATCAGACTAGAGCTGTTTCAACCCTCCCTTTAGACTGGACGCCTCAGTATTCAGTCACTGTAAAAAAAAATTGATAGCCGAACGTTAAATGCCAGTACACGGTATAATAGTAGAATTATTGAGCTTAGATGCTCCTGAAAGTTCTAGGAGAAGTTGAGCCAGTAGTGTGGCTGGCATGACATACCCTACCAGAGACCATAACAGAAAAGAGATCAAATCCAAACGTTTTCACCATTCGCCCTACTAGAACGCGGCAATAATTTGGCCGACAATAACATGGACTGGAGCTCCTGGCAGAATCTTCTGCCCACCCAAGCAGAAACCGGCCTCATCACCGTTGTCGTCAACACTATCGGTGGGATGGTTGTTGCAGTGTTTGCAGTGCTTGCACGTGGACCGCCCGTGCCTACAGGTTGTAGTATGCTTGCAAGTTCTCGTGAGCTCATTAATAATCGCTTTCCACTCGGTGGTGACACTGTAGTCACTATCCCCATCAGGCATGGGCATGCCATCCGGGAACATGATAGTGCCGCGCTTCGCGTGGAGTTCGTACTCGGTCCATCCTGTCTGGTCCACATCATCCTCGTGCTGAAGCTTGAGGCCGAATTTGTGCTGCAGACCTCGCTCGGAAACAAGACTGCAGAACTCGGCTAGGAACGCCTCATAACCACTCATGTCGGGTACCTCGTGGTTCCCATACTCATAAGCCTGGAGGGACGCATTATCGTCGACGAAATAATGGATTCCTCTGAGTTGGTTTCCGTTTGGAGGCACAATAGGCTTCATAATCTGGACGGCCCCATGTTCGGGGACTGGAACCTTGTCAAACACCATGACCTCGCCCTCGGTGGTGTCGAAGTGCTTGTGGATCAATCGGACACTGACCCCTTTGGGAACATTGTGCTTGCTCAGCAACTCGCGGAGGTCTTGAAGATCTTGGGAATGATCCTCGGGTGCCCCAGCAACTTGGCTAATTAAGGGCAAGACGTTGTAAGTGCTGGAAGGCACGAAGTTATCGATGAGAGAGCTCATTGTATTACTGGAGGACAAGGGGACGATAGTTGTGTAATCAAAGCTGGCAATTCATAAGGTAGCAAAACTGTTGATGGGATCCGAGATGAAACTCACGTCGAGAAGGTAAGAGTAGCTATCTCGCCTTATATAGACCGTATCTAAAGCAGACCCCTAGTTAGTCAAGATGTAGTGTGCTGACTCTTCACGTTGGTCCTTTCACGTTGGGCCTTTCATATTGCCCCATTGGCATATTCATATTGAGTTACATGGTGTGATCGTCTCGGCAGGCAAAACTGTCCCTCTTATCATGTTGGAAGTCAGGAGCAAGTTCAGGCCGAAACTGGTGTTATGAGTAATAAGGTTTGGGGAAAACATCCCTGTACCTATCTCTTTTATGAATGCGGCGAAATGCGATACGAGGTTGGATTCACTTACGCAGCCTGCAACGCCGTACTCTCTTCTTACTGATGTCCCCATTGACCTTTCACAAGCTATACAACATGTCCAGCTCTCTTTCTGCTGCATACTGCTACCGCCACAGTGCCCGAATACCTAGTGTTTAGGTAGTCAGACAATGGACAAACTGCACATGAGATCTTGAACCGCTCGCTCAATCGGAACTGGAATACTTAAACGCAAGGTTCAACCATACAGTTCATGAAAAGTATAGAAAATGGCTTGCTCTTACGCTTCGGGAATTTGTTGCATGTTGGTTGATCGAAAATGTAGTGGCTCGAGGTTATCTTTGTTTACAGCCCTGTCCGTGCCTCATATTCATTTGATTTGCCACGTGTGGAGAAACACACCTGTTTTCCATCTGCACAACCCTTGCGAAGAAGCTTTCTATCAGCGTAAAGCACCCCTTTCTCGTTTTTCTTACATCACTCATTTTCCCCCAAGCAAGCTGCGCTACCTAATTTCAATTCATGCTTGCCTTCCTCTAAAACCACACTCTTTAGTACCCTAATGTCAACGTCGGGGATTTCATTAGAACGGACTGGTCTTAACTACTTTACCCGCAACAAATTTCGAGGCAGCTCCTGGGTCGCTATCCAAGCGTATCTCAAAGCCCGCTACCTCACCCATGCACTATTTGCACCAGAGATCTCGTAGTATCAAACCAGAATCACCAGTTGGAGTCGTGTGGCACTTGGCGCCAGACCAGAATCCTCATACGACGACAGTCTTCTCACTACGCAGTGTGTTCACAGTTCCATTGGCCATGGAGAATCACCCAGCGGTAAACCATCCGCCGGCTCCATTGGCCTCCACGATGGATGATCAAGAAATTCTTGATAACATAGACGCCCGCTTGCACGGCCCTATGAGCGGCTTTATCAAGAAATACTTCGGCCACTTTCAATACGTCCACCAGGATGCTTTATTGGAAATTCAGGCGGCCGGAAGAGTTATTGGTCGCTGTGCTGTTCCATCAGCTGCCCCGTCGCCCGACAATTTTCTACAATGGTTTTCCAACTATGTATCGCGGGAGCTGGATGGCGCGAGAGGCTCGTGGCATATATCTAGCGGCAATGAAGCACCCGAGCACGAGAGCGCTGACGACGGTACACGTCTCCTCTTGACCATGCCCGCTTCACCGGCTTCTAACGTACGAACGAAATGGGACCAGGTTCAGGTTATTGGCCAGTTTTACCACCGTGGTTGCGTTTGTTATCAGGATGGATTATTGCGTCTCTGCCGGTCCGCACACCAGGTCTTTGCCAGTCAGCCTACGCGGCTATTCTTACATGGCTTCTACGTACGCGGTTCGTTGACCGAACTGTGGGTCTTTGATCGATCTGGCTCATATTGTAGCGACGTATTCGATGTTCAGAAAGATTTCACTCAATTTATCTCTATTATTCTCACCTACCAGCGGATGACGGACTGCGACCTGGGGAAAAACAGCATCATTGAGACAGATGAGGGCGGCAATTACATTATCCTTGATAACGTGGCGATGACTTCTTTAGGCAAGCTCTATTTAGATAGCCAGCCAATTGCATCTCGTGAAGGCCTTGTTGGCACCGGGACGACTTGTTACCGGGCTAGAACGCCCGATTCGAATCGATGGAATCACGTCTTGAAGTTTAAATGGCGTTGGGCCAGGCAACGTCCGGAAGACGAGCTTCTAAAGCTAGCTAAGAAGAAATGCGTCTGGGGCGCCGTCTCCCTTGATTATTATAAAGAAGTTGAGAGTACAGCAAATCTGCGTCGAGGTCTGCGATGGGGGACACACAGGAAATTCACCAGGATCCACTCTCGCGAGGAACATGGAAGTGTCGAAGAGCAGCGACAGGAAGTTACTGGCAATGCCGACGGGCTTGTAGACTGCACAGAAGAAACCGACAACTTCTTTCAAAATCGTATCCTTGCCTGCGTCGTTACTTCTCCTGTCGGCCGACCCCTTCAAACTTTTCAGTCTCTGTTGGAGTTGCTCCAAGTGTTTCGTGATGCTATCAAGTGTCACCGATCACTCTATCATGACGCCAGGATTCTCCACCGAGACATATCACCTGGAAACATGATCATTCTGGATGGCCAAGACGAAGAAGGAAAGCCGAAGGGAATCCTGATAGACCTTGATTCCGCAGCAGAGCTCGCCGAAACATCAGAAACAGAGCCTGGAATCACCGGCACTAGGCCATTCATGGCTATCGGCGTTCTGAAGAGCGAATGCCATACCTACCGGCACGACCTCGAGTCCTTCCTTTACGTCTTCCTCTGGACGATCATAACGAACCACACAGATAATCCCCCTGAGACGAGCAAGCTTCGGCGATGGAGCAACGGAGACTGGCACAAACTAGCGGTGTGCAAGTCTCTCGACATGTATCAGGATGGCTTTCAGAATATTCTGGCAGAATTCGGCCCCGAATTTCACTCCCTCAAGCCGCTCGCGGAAAGCCTACGCCAGATTCTGTTTCCCCTACGGGACGGGGTGATCTGGACAGGGACCGATGACTCGTTTGAGGCTGCAGACAAGCTCTACGATGGGATGATCTGCGCGTTTGAGGAGGCCGTTGCTGCTGAAGGAGAAAGATAGATAGACGTAATGGATATGAGAATGGAGCCGCATCAACGGGCAGAATTAGCAGGAGTCAAGGCTGTTCGTTCGCTGCAGTGCGTCCAGGTTCTCCACTGTGTCTTAGCCGCCACGAGAGAACCGGCATTCCGGCCGCGGCTCCGCCGCAGAAAAAGCCGTTAGATTATTATTAGAAGCTTAGATTCAATCAGTGTCTAGGGCAGCAAGAAGTTGGTGAAATAAATCTGATTAACAATCAAACCCGTTAACCACCACCACAAAGTAACGATTGAGTTTAGGGCCGAGGTTAAGAGAGAATAGACGAATAGATACCTAATTACTTAGATATCAGCGAAAGCAAATCATTTGCGGAACAGCACAGCAAGCGACAATGGGGCTTGCGGGTTAATAAGTATGGGAAAAAGAAACGTGAACCAATTATATTAATGCAAACACCTTAATGGGCTCATGGCCTAATGGTAAGGCGTCAGATTTCGGTCTATCCTTCAGCCCACTAATGCCCTGAAGGACCTCGTTTCTCTGAAGATTGCAGGTTCGATCCCTGCTGAGCTCGGCAAAAACTGTTGGATTGTGTGCTAGAATTTTTGCTTAGTGCTTGACTATATTAACTAGTGCACTGCATATGTATTGTACACACGTATCCGTGTATCGTCAGGCCCCGATAGGCGCGCCGTCTTGATCAAATAGTACGTACTTAAGTACAGTAGGTACACGTTGGGAGTCTTGGAGTTGAGACCCCGCACCGGAACATACATGTACGTATCACTGCTAATCGATAACCGTTCCCAACACCCCCCTTAGACACGAGGTATAACTTCACTTGAAGCTATCTATGCTTTGTCTTTGGTCTCAGTTACAAGTTATAAGTTTTGTGCTAAACATACCGTGAGCCATTAGAGACTGGACGACGGATTATATAAGTAGGAGCAAGGGATATAAAATCAATATTCATAATGAGCACTATTTGTTAATCGAATGTGCAACTTCATAATATTTCTTGGTTATGGCTGCAGCACCAGCCGTAGTGTTGCTATATGTGTTTATTCTCAGAGAAAAGGAGTATAACTCCTCTCATTGTTGTGAATAAGGTCTCACTCAGGACCAACAACCGGCAACTTGATAATTTAACCTACTTAAGAGCACGGACTTTAACTTACTAACAAAGTGGATTAATAAATAAGTACTTATCATACGACCCGGATCGCCTGGGATCCGTGCCGCTAGAATATCAAATTCGAATGTCGGTGTCTTTTGTCTACTATACGTAATATTAATGGGTGGCCTCGTTACCCCTTATAAGCTGCCTACGTTTAAGTACTACTGAGTTGTCCGATTCACGATGTTAGTTAATTGCAAACGTTCCCATGCGTTGCTAGAAGATGGCTTCTCATAGCAAAGTTGAGTACGAGTTTGGTGGACCGTAAGCGTTCCTCACCGCCACTGAAATTAGGATCTTATTTGATTCGAATGCTAACTCTCGGTCACATACTTCAGCTTAGGTGCCGCCGCTATCATCACTGGCTTGCCTGTACTTCTATACATATTTACCTTTTCTTGTAACGATGTCACCGGCTGTCCTGTGCCGTCGCTGTTGGAGCCTCGCACCCTCACTGGGGACAAGCTGAGATCAGACATAGGATGGCCTAATGGCGGTATCCGTGATCTCGGAAGTTGGCAAGTGACCGGAGTGGTGCTGGCTTACTATCTCCTGAGCCTGATTCTCTGGAGGCTCCTCCCCGCGCACGAAGTCTACGGCACCAAGCTGCTACGGCATGGGCGTCCGCTCAAATATCGTTTGAATTGTATGTAAGAACGTCCCTAGAAGTTAAAGCGCGAAGAAGCTGACATCGTTGCGAAGCATTTTCGTCATCAGTTGTTCAACTGGCTGCCTGCGCGATTGGGACATACGTACAAGGTGCCGAGTTCGTCGTGTGGACTTACATTGCCGACAACTACGTGCAACTGTTGACCGCAAATATACTGATCTCCGTGGCGCTGTCCATATTCGTCTATATCCGTAGCTTCGGCGTGGATACGAACTACCCGAACAAGGACCTCCGCGAACTGGCTGCCGGTGGCAACACTGGTAACTTTATATACGACTTCTATATCGGGCGCGAGCTGAATCCGCCCGTCACTCTTCCCTTCTTCGGTCAGATCGACATTAAGACTTGGTGCGAGATGCGTCCGGGATTGACCGGCTGGATCCTACTCGACTTAGCATTCGTCGCCAAGCAGTACCGGGCTTACGGGTACGTGTCCGACAGCATTGTTTTCACGACCTTCGTTCAAGCCTTCTACGCACTCTACGGGCAGTACATGGAGACCGGCCTTTTGACCATGATGGACATCACTACCGACGGCTTCGGCTTCATGCTTTCTTTCGGCGATCTCGCCTGGGTCCCCTTTCTCTACTCGACCCAGTGTCGCTATCTCGCGGTCTACCCGCTGCATCTTGGATGGGCCGGCATCGCCACCGTGACCGCGATATTCGCGTTAGGGCTGCACATCTTCCGCGCCGCCAACGCGCAGAAATACGTCTTCCGCACGCGACCGAACGATCCAAGCGTCTCAGGCTTGTCGTACATCCAGACGAAGCGCGGCACGAGGCTGCTGACGGCCGGATGGTGGGGCATGTCGCGGCACATCAACTACTTCGGCGACTGGTTACAGGCGTTGCCCTTCAGTCTGCCAACCGGGCTAGCCGGGTATGTGATTCTGCCGGCTGGCAGTGCTGCTACAGCCATGCAGACTTTCAAGATGGGCGACGGTCGCGCGGTCGTGCAGGACCAGGCCGAGGCTTGGGGCGTCTTCTTCACGTACTTCTACGTGCTCTACTTCGCCATCCTGCTCATGCACCGAGAGCGCAGAGATGACGCCATGTGCTCGAAGAAATATGGCGAGGACTGGGATAAGTACAGAAAGATCGTGAGGTGGAGAATCGTTCCGGGGATTTATTAGATATATACGATATTACATGCGTATATATCTAAACCAGGAGTCGAGAGCGCTTCATAGATATGTTATAGAATATCCGGGACACTGCATGTTAGTGCAAACTCGTGCGCGTTATATCGAATGCTCAGGCTTCAAAAATTTCCCTTTATAAAGCAAATGCTTTAGTATCCTGCGAACGCGAAGGCTGTCGCTCGAAACAAGACTGTTATATGCTCGCATATCCACACCAAAGTCATTAGAATAAGCTCAGGGAAATATCCGCTCTCGTAATTCTTGAATCAACAATTGACCAATAAGACTACTCGTATTCGACGACCAACATTCATCTTTTCAGATAATCCAAAAGGCCTATTTCTTTCACAGCTGCTCAACACGAATAAACTACCGATAGAGTGTTCGGTTGTATTTTCTCTCTCTTAAGAGACGCCGACCCCCCTCCAGGCGTCTTGGCTATTTTTTTCATCAGTTGGCACAGACTTCACTAAGCCCGATCTAGGTAGATAATTAACCAGAGTTTACAACGCTGAGTAATTTTCTACGATAGTACAATCGTACCGGAGTCCTCAGGCCACGAGACTGCTCACTAATCATGTCCATCAGCTAATTCCTGTCAGATTGGCGGGGTCCCCAGGGTACGACGCATAAGCGATTCTCACCGGAAACTACCCGGACGAAACAGGACGCCTGTATCTATGTCTTGGTCAAGTGTTGCTTCATCGAAAGATGTGACGATCGAGGTATATCGCGCAAAACTGCTGTCCAAGTGACATAGAACTAATAGTCGTGAAGCCGCTAAGGAGTATGTACAACCAAGAGCTGACCAATGAGTTGAGGCACAATGTGATGACAGTGTGATTATCAACAATATGATGAAATGTATATAGCTTACATTAATAGTTTCTAGCGAGGGAATAGGCAGGATCTTATAAACCGTTCAAAGTAGTAGAACGACCGCCAAGAGTACAGAAGAGTATACAGCTGAAGAAGAAGCGTCGGATAGGACGGGTGATATCTACAATAGTTACTCCGATCACATATCAGTAGTATGCAGATATACCGAGTAGCATTCATTCTGTTTATAATATGAGCATGGATAATAACCGAATCAGAGTCCCATGTCGCGAACGCCACATACGAAAGGCAGCATTGACCCCTCTCCTATAGTCGAGCAAATCTCAGGTGTTCTATTATAAACGTCCAGATCCTATTAAACTCTATTTCTGCACAAGTCAACTCTATTGCTGTGCAATTCCAACTATGTCGAGCTTAACTAAATACTTGCCTAGCTCAGTCATTATGCTTTCCCAGACTCAGTATCTGTATATTGTAGTTGCGGCGCTCATATTTCTCAATCGTATAATCGCATACTCACGCCGTTCGCCTCTACGATTACCTCCCGGTCCTTCGCCTCTACCTCTCATCGGGAATGTTCACCAGGTTCCAAAAGCTCAATCATGGCTACAATATTAGTATGTATCCTAGCGTCATTCCTTTCTCAATACCTCTGCCCAATTCAGAAGTATTCGTAGATATTAGACTCGCCGTATATGACTTAGAAACCCCAAGTTTATTAACAAGGGAATATTTGCTAACTCTATCCTGTGTATAGTGCTTGGAGCAAAAAATATGGCTCCATCATGCATCTGAACTTGCTTGGGCAGCCCGTGATCATTCTTTCAACAATGAAGGCGGTTCAAGATCTCCTCGCCAAAAGGGGCTCGACCTATTCCGATCGCCCTCGTCTTGTCGTGAGTCTAGCGAACAAATTCTTAGTATTTCTTGTATTGGGCTAGGGATACCCAGCCACGGAGACCAACATACATAGCAATATTCGAAAGAATAAACTGACGCTGGGTTCCAAAGGTCGCGAGTGAACTGGCGATGAAAGGTCTGCACATAACCTTCAGACCCTACAACGCCAGATACCGACTACATCAAAGAATGGAAGCGCCTCTTCTCAACCCGAGAGCCTCGAACTCTTACGGCCCATTACAGGAGCTAGAATCGAAGCAGCTCCTATACGACCTCCTGAATAAAGGCGGTGGCGAGTCGGGCATCGACTGCCACGACCCATTCGAGCGCATGACCGCCAGCACGATCTACGCGCTGGCGTACGGATACCGGCTGAAGACGGGCTCCGAGGCCGAGCTCCACCACTCCCGCAGCGTGCAGGGCGAGTTCGTGAAGGTGGCGCGCACGGGCGTGTACCTCGTCGACACGTTCCCGGTGCTGAACTACCTGCCGCGGTTCCTCGCGCCGTGGAAGCGGGAGGGCGAGCGCCTGTTCGAGCGGACCCGGGACCTGCACGTGGGGAACCTGCGGCGCGGCTTCGACACGCCGGGGTGGAACTTCAGCAAGCGCATGCGCGACAGCACCGAGGTCAAGGCCAGCGCGATGCCGATCGAGGAGCTCGCGTTCGACGTCGGCGAGCTGGCGCTGGCGGCGCTCGACACCACCACCATGACGATGGACTGGTTCGTCGTGGCGTGGCTCACGCAGGGCCGCGCCACGGGCTTCGTGGCCAAGGCCCAGGCTTACATCGACCAGATTGTGGGACGAGGGCGTCTGCCCGCGTACGAAGATCGCGCGAGCCTG